AAACGCTTTCAAAAGAAATATAGCCCTCAAGTGCAGCTGTGTGTGTCCCTATGTCTGTGTGTTGAGGGAATTATATTATGAAACTTGTTTTTGTTGAGTGACATGGAGTCGATTTTTGACTCATAGTGACCCCACATGATAGAATAGAACTGGCCCATAGGGTTTTCTTGGCTGTACTTTTTTCAACAGCAGATTGTCAGGTCTTTCTCCTGAGGAGCTGCCGTGTGGGTTTGAACTGGCAACACTTCAGTTAGCAGCCAAGTGCTTAACTGTTGTGCCACCAGGGCTTCTTAACATGAAACTTACTTGATTTAAAAATTTGCCTCAGAGTCCTCACACAGAGATGTGAACTGGCTCTGTGTATCTCTCTTTCCCTTCTAATTCACAGGCTGAGACTACGTTCATGCTGCTACATAGGTTCTTATCATACAGTCCACTCTGCCCAGTGTAATCTTGTAACTGCACTCATTGTCACATAAAACGGATGTAGCTGGTCTCATTAGTGCTAATACACACACCCCGTGCAGAAGTGTTATGATGCAATAAGCACTTGGGTAACAACACTGGACTCCAATAGCTCACATGATCTCACTTATGTTATGTAGGAGTCATACTTTGACTTGTAGATGTTCATGAGGCAGGCATTCATTCACTCCTAAAAGGCAAAATTCCAAAGTTAAAGAGGGAAAGAGAGAGAGAGAGAGAGAGAGAGAGAGAATTAATAAAGTATGGGCTTGAATTATTTTGTTGCTTTCTTGCTCTGATTTAATGTAGAGCCAATATTCTTGAGTAAGATGTCCAAAATCCAACACTACTAAGCATTCAAACAGTAAAATACCATGTAGAGAGATATCCTCACACATAAACTCCTCTGTTATATCTGGTGGAATTACTTGGTGTTATGGATTGAATTGTGTTCCCCCCACATGTGTGTTGTAAACCCTATGCTCTGTGCCTGCTATTAGCTCTGGTGATGCAGTTTTTAAAGCATTCAGCTGCTAACCAAAAAGGTTGGTGGTTTGAACCCACCAGCTGCTCCTAGGAGAAAGATGAGGCAGTGTTCTTCCGTAAAGATCTGCAGTCTTGGAAACATTATGCAGTTCTTCTCTGTCCTATAGGGTTGCTATGAGTCAGAATTGAGTAGATGGCAGTGGGCTTGGTTATGCCTGTGGTTATTATAATCCCATGTGAGATTCTTTGTTATGTTAATGTATCCAGTTAATCTCTTTTTAAACAAAAGGGGAGAAAACAGCAGAGCTGGGAATGAGAGATGCCAAGAAACATGAAGATTATCCAGGAGCAGAAACTCAAAAAGTCAAAGACTTTTCTCCAGAGCTGACAGAGAAAGCCTTCGCCTAGAGCTGGCACCCTGAATTCAGACCTCCAGCCTTTTAAATGGCAACAACCCACTTGTGGTACTTGTTATAGAAGCACTAGGTAAATAAGGTATTCATGATACAGGGTACTGTTCTTGCTGCGCAATCTACTTCTGTGGAGATACCACCTCGGAAACCCACGGAGGGGTTGCTGGGAGTCGAAACCAACTCGATGGCAGTGAGTTTGGTTTGGTTTTTGGTTAGAACGGCTCTACTTTGACACTGGAAATAGATGAGAGTTCCAAGCACCTGTGTAGGCATTGAGGGAAGCACTTCTATGTGCTATGGCTAGGGAGATTTAGAATGACTCCAAATATGGCAATCCTTTTCACCCCATGCTCAGGAGAGACTGTACCACTGACAGTGGTGAAAGAAACTTCTTCGGGAATAGCACTGTGGGGATGATGACAGAAGGAAAGACCAGAGTGATTCTGTAATCAAAGAAGCAATAGGTGCCTGCACCTGTACTTGCCTCACTAACCCGATCCTTTGTAAGGAAACAATCTGTGCTAAGGCAGAAGCCTCACCTGGAGGCTGTGAGCAGCTTTCTGCTGTTGAAGGCATGGGATCCTCCTCATTGAGGGGACAGTGGTCACTGTTTTGTGAGTTAAAGACACACATCCTACTTCTGGAAAAGGTGGTTCAGTGGTAGAATTCTCTCCCTCCATGCAGGAGACCTGGGCTCAACTCCTGGGCAACGCACCTCATAAACAGCCACCATGCAGCCATCAGTGGAGGTTTCTGTGTGGCTGTGATGCTGAACAGACTAAGATAGACTAAGAAGAAAGGCCTGGTGAGCGACTTCCAAAAATTAGCCAATGAAAACCCTCCTGAGATCCCAATGGTCTGCTCTGCCCCTGGCACAGGACAGCCCAGGAACGGGCTTCATTCCACTGTGCCTGGGGTCACCATAAGCTGAGGGCCGACTTGACAGCAGCTAACAAGTGTCGGAAAAACTGCAGTAGGCTGCCATACACCTGATTGCCATTTCATCTCCTTTTTGAAAGTCTCAGCATCTTTGGCACAGATGAAATCTGGATATCCCTTCCTCCTCCTGCAAGGAATCAGGTTTCAAGGGGGAGGAGACTCAGCGGGGCCCTGGACTCATTACATGGTGCACAAAGCAAAAATAAATATACAGCTTTATAACATGAATATGAAACTACAACAAAGATACAAATACCAGGCTCTGCAATTACAGGACACATGCTAAGGCTATCTGGTAGAGTTTATGGAATGATGGTTTTCCCATAAAACGTTTATCTACTGTAATTCTGATCAACAATACTAAAGGGATAAGCAAAAATGTATGAAACACTATTATTATTTTTTAAGACAAATTTCCTTAAATACCAATTGTGGTGTAGTAAATTACTTAGTGTGGCTTTTCTGCCCATAAGTCTTCGTAAACTCCAAGGTGGGATTTGCTATGAGCAACTGAGGAGCTCCTGATTGCGAAAGTTGTCCACCTGGAGTATTTCTGTTGGGAGTGACACAAAACAATGTTCTGGGAGGTGCCCATTCTCTCTCAGGTGCTTAGAGTTCTGAAGCTATGATTGGCTAGTTTGACCACTCTGCTGGGCTCAAAAGGAGGCCTCCTAGAGGCAGAACTCTCTCTGACTGCTGGTTGAGGAAGACGTGCTGCTGAAAGAGACACGCGTTGCTGAGTAAGACATCGAGGGACAGGCACTGCTGGGAGAGAGACTATGAGAGAGTTGGCTGAGAGACGGTGGGCTGGGAGAGAGACTGAGCGTTTTTCCTGAACTTGAATTTGTAGCCTGGTGCTTCCCTAATAAACCCCATAATCTGTGAGTTCTGTGTGGCCACTGCAGTGAATTATCGAACCCAGGAGAGAGGTGGTGGTGCTTTGGGAGGAACAGTTGGAAAAAGGGCTGGAGGGAGGCAGCATGTCTGGCCTCCCAGGAATAGGCTTGGGCTATTGATGGTGATTCTGTCTTCCTATTGTGGGATTAGAGGAGGTCAGAACATGTGGCCTCCTTGTCTTTTTGCACCAAGGATAGAGATCAAATTCAAGTCATCCAACTTAAAGAAATCACTTTCAACACTTCCCAGTGGTCATCTTAGTCTGAGTAAAAAGGACAGGAGCTAACTGCCCTCCTCTAGTGATGCCGGGAGTCTAGCACCAGAAGCCCTCTTTGGTAGAATGAGGGCCCACACTCTGCCAGAGGATTCACCCCGATTCCTTCTCGCTTTTGAAATTCCATAGCAGTATGCATGTTCTTCAGAGTCCCTGGGTGGCACAAATGGTTAAGTGCTCAACCACTAACCGAAAGGTGGCAGCTCAAACCCACCCAGAGGGCCTGGTGATCTGCTTCCGAAAGGCCTTGAAACCTTATGGAGAAGTTCTACCACACACATGGGGTCATCAGCAGTTGGAATCAACTTGACGGCAACTGGTTTGGTTTTTTGGTTTTATGACTGTTCTTCACAAAAACATGGGGATACTGACAAAGGAAGCAACAAGGAGACATAAAGGTGCATTTATTCATGTCCATGCCATCTCAAATCTAGTGAATACAGTAATCAGGACCAGAGAAGGGTCGTATTAGAACCTAAAACAACAACGAAAACAATAGAACATTCACTCCCTTGCATCACAACTTTTAGTTCAGAAGACGCCACATGCTGGAGAGGCCAGTTTCCTCCCTGAGAAGCACGTGTTATGCTTCCTTCTCTCAGCCAGCATTTCCTGCCTCTCTCCGTTAAGGCCTGGACAGTGTGAGGTGGTGGTGGAATCCGCCCTCCAGAGCAGTGCTTTGGGGAAGCGATCGCCCTGCTGTCAGTCACTGGCAGGCTCGGGCTGAGTGAGGGCCGGCTCTGCACTGCTCAGCTCTGCCGTCTGCCTCCGCAGCTCCTCCACGGCCTGCAGCAGAGTGGCCCTCTCCAGCTCTAATGCCAGGGTCGCCTGCTTCAGCTTGCTTTCACTGATCAGCAGCTTCTCAATGGTAGCTTCGAGGCTTTGGATCCTACCATTTGCCACCTAGAGAATAAAAGAAGAAATGATAATGGAATTGCCCAGTGACAACAAAGGAGGAAGCCACTCAACAGTCCACTGCCCAGCCCTGGGAGCACTTTGGAGCCATATTTTGGCAGATCCAGGTCCAGGTGATTACCAGCAGTTCTTCTGGGCCACACAGGAAGACTCTATTTTCCAACTTGCTTTGCAGATGGTCTGGGCCAGGCCCTAAAATCACCCCCTGAAATCTTCCAGGATCCCCTTCCCTTGATGTGGCTACTTTGGAAAGACACACGTAGAGATGGTGCCATCACAGTATGGAAGAAGCCTGAATTCCCCAGTCACCTATGATAGGAATATGGGCAAAAAATGCTTCCTGGGGAAGAGGTGGAGCTTCAGGAAGAAAAACAAACAAGCTGTTTTGTGTGCTAAGCCACTGAGATTTGGAGATTTACTACTGCAGCCTAACCTATTGCCACCACTTGTTCGTCAGTTTGTCATACTGTGGTGGCTAGCGTGTTGCTGTGAGGCTGGAGGCTATGCCACTGGTATTCTTTTTGAAGGCTAAAGTATGCCCAACCCAAGCCATGGTATTTTCAATTGCCTCATATGCACGTGAAAGCTGGACAATGAATAAGGAAGACAGAAGAAGAGTGGATGCTGTTGAGTTGTGATGTTGGCCAGGAATACTGTGAGTACCATGGACTGCCAAAAGACCTAATAGAACTGTCCTGGAAGTGCAGCCAGGATGCTTCTTGGAAGCAGGAATGGCCAGACTTCATCTCACCTACTTTGGTCATGCTGTCATAAGGGACCTTTCCCTAATGATGGATATCATGCTTAGTAAAGTGGAGGGTCAACGAAAAATGGGAAGGCTCTCAATGAGATGGATCAACACAGTGGCTGAAACGATGGGTTCAGGTACAGCAAAGATTGTGGGGCTGGCACAGGACTGGACAGTGTTTTGTTTTATTGTACAAGGTCACTGTGAGTTAGAACCGACTCTATGGCACCTACCAACAACTTACCAACATATTTTGACTATGCACATACCTACAGGGGCAAACTGATTTTGCACTGACATAGCCAAAATGGTTTCTAGGTGAAGGTCGAAGCAGACACAGCTCTCTTACTGGATTTTTTTTTTTTTTTAAATTTCCCTAGAAATGGAGATCACAAGAGACATGGGGCTTTCCCCCTGAACATGTATGGAGAGCTCAGAATGGCGGAACATTCTGCTAAGAGGGTGTCTTGCCTTATCTCACTGATTTGTCACTACCACCCAAGGAGCAACAGTGTCCTTGTTCCCACCATACAGATAAGGATCCAGGCTCTCACTCAGTTTACATCTTCAGCACCTCCCACTGCTGTCAAGTCCATCCGACTCATACACAGCACCCCTGTAGGAGAAAGCAGAACTGCCCCATAGGGGTTCTAAGGCTGTAAATTTTATGGAAGCAGACTGCCACATCTTTCTATCAGGGAGTGGCTGGTGGATTCAAACTGCCAATCTTTCAGTTAGCAGTCGAGTACTTAACCACTGTGCCACCAGAGCTACTTCTTCAGCACCTAGCATGTAATTAATGTCATTTAAATAGACTTTCCATGGGCTTCTCTCTGACAATTCTCCCTCCTCTCTCCAATCCACCAGCGCAGGCTCCCTAGGCCACAGTGAGCCAGCTCTAGTGAAGATATGGGGTTTTCTGAGCAAACTGCAGGAACTCTGACATGGATCTTGATGGCCCCCGAGGCCTTTCCAGCCTGTTCTTCAGCTTGCAGCTGCATTCTGGAGAGCTCAGGTCACGGGGTCAGTAAGGCACTACCCTTTCTCATGAGTCCAGTCCGGTTTTCTATATTTCCCCATTTATTTTAAGTGGAAAAATGGTACATATATTATTCCTCATTTTCAAAGCAAGGCAACAGAGTTTTGAACAAGAAAACACTTGTGCCAGACAGGCAATTCATGACTCAGATGGCCAGCTCTGACAGTGTCACTGGGACAGTGAAAACAGAAGGCTAAAGAACTGAGATCTTGAGTGTGTTAGCTTGCCAGGCAGGGTGGTCATGCTTGGTCTGTACATCAAAGCAAGACTCCCTGACTCTCCAAATCCACTCATCAACAAGGCCTGGGCCAAGTCCCACCTTATCTCCAGAAAGATCTCATCTGCACGCCAAGGTATACCAAGCAATTAACTGCAGTGAGTTCATGGTCATTTACCAGTTCTGCAAGATTATCACATCTCTCACTGAGATTGAATGAGACACTGGTGGTTCAGTGGTAGAATTCTTGCCTCCCAGTCAACATACCTCACGGACAGCTACCACCTACCAGTCAGTGGAGGCTCGTGTGCTCCTATGATGCTGAACAGGTTCCAGCGGAGCTTCCAGACTAAGACACACTGGGAAGAAAGGCCCGGGGACCTACTTCCAGAAATCAGCTAATGAGAACCGTATGGATCACAATGGCCTGAACCATAACCACTCCTGGGGCTGGAGCAGGACCATCATACATGGGGTCACCGTGAATCACGGGCTGACTCCATGGCGGCCAAGAGCAAGAATGAAGCGCTTTCAGGGCAGGAAGCCTGCTATGTCCTTCCTGTGGGTCTGGCTTCCCACAGCACCTCACTCAGGGTTGGCTTGCAGTGACTTGTAGTTGACTATTATAAAAAATGTTAGGTACATTAGTATTTGGCACCATTTGATACGCCTATGCAACAGTCTTATGTATTCTGCCAGACAGAACAGGTAGACAGGTCTCCAGCTTACAGACTGTATTCTTAGGTATTTAACAATAAGAAAACAAATGGGACTTTGGTGTATCTAACAACTCACTGAACAAGGCAAAACTGTGAAACAGGGCAATTTTGATATTTTTTGGGAAAAAAAATCTACCTATGAAAATTCAGTATTGCATTGAACACATATCCTGGGCAGTGTATGAAAATTGTAAAGGAAAAAGGAACACCCTCCTCAAAGAACCTAGGCAGTCTGGCTAAAAGACAGTGAATCTTTGTGACTCACAAGGGATAATGGAAAAGTGGTAAAGAACCACCTGCAGAGCAGTACCCCACAATCCTTATCCCAACTCTGAAAGCAGCAGGACCTCATGCCTCGTGGTGCCCCTGGCCCCCAGCACAGCAAGGACCCAGCAAAAACTGGTGGAGGTTCCTAAACTGTAATTATGAGAGATACCTCCAGAAGCACAGACCACCCAGTCAACAGAAAGACGACTGCCACGTTACCACTTACTACAGCTTGATGCCTTTCTGGAGGAATGCAGAGAGGTATCTGAGCAGTCTTTCACAACTTCCTGTCTTCACAAAAGGGACAGAGCAGCACAGAAGCAGCATACAAGTGCTTTCCCCCCTCCACCACAAAGAAACCACGTGGGCACTGCTGCTGCAGCTGCTGTTGAGTGTGCCCTGGCTCACGGTGACCCGCAATGGGACAAAACACTGCCCTATCCTGCACCGTCCCCAGGATGAGCTGTGGATTGGACAATGTTCCGTGTGATCCACAGGGTTTTCATTAGCCCAATAAAGTTAATCTTTTATTTGAGAACTGCCTGTTTTAAGAAACCAACCTCTCCAAATGCAAATGTGAGCTCTGTTAGAAAGCATGTCCATCATGTTGTCTTCAGGGGCATAACTCTTGCTTGGAGGCCATTTTAAATTACCCTCTATACCACACGTTTCACAGGCCAGATAAGGCTTTTTATCCCCTGGGGACTTCCCTAATTTCCAAAAGCCTTCACGTTAAGGCAAGACTTCCTGGAGAAATTGTGTATAGGCATATTTTCAGTTAGAATAGCTCAATCTTGGGGGGAAAAAAGAAGAAGCTAAATGTCAGAATATGACTGGTAGTTAAGACTGGATAGGGGAAGCATTTTGTCTTTGTTCCTCTACAGTAAATCTCTACAATAGGGTCTAGAGGGATAAACCCCTGCTGGGAGGAATGCGTTTTAGACAAGGGCTGATTTATCAGGCTCTCCGATGCTGGCCTTTCTCACAGCACTGCCAAGATTATGTCTGCAGAGCAGCAACTTTCTGGAGAAATACCAAAGGCTTAGCCCATGACAGAAAGCTTATTCCAGGAATGAATTCCTCCACAGGAACCAGAAAAATAAATTGAAAAAAACCCAAAAAACTCATCCTTAAAACAATTCCTAACACTGACAGCATTGCTGCCCATTTGTCATATTAGAGAAGTGGGATGTATGGTTACTTTACTTCACATGCTAGACAAAGGGGCATGCTAAGCAGTTAGGGATCCTTTTCCTCATGTCACACAGATGAGGGAATCAGGACAAAGAGGGCTAGCAGTCTGCCCAAGGGTGACAGCGAAAAGGGGGGCAACACTGGAAGCTGATAAGATCTAGGCCTCTTGCACTTAGTGCTTGCTCCATCTCACCTTCTGCCTTTACTTGCCATTTTTTTGGATGCCATTTAAGGAGCTCTGGTGGCATAGTGCCTAAGGCATTTGACTGCTAACCAGAAGGCTGGCAGTTCAAACCCGCAGCCACTCCTCAGAAGGAAGACTGGGCAATCTACTTCCGTAGTGATACTGCCTCAGAAACCCAAGAAAGGGTTGCTATGAGTTGGATCTGATTCAATGGCAGTGAGTTTGGGGTTTTTTAAGGATATCTGGTGGTGTATTTAAGGATATCTAGTGGTATAGGGGTTAAGGCATTTGGCTGCTAACCAAAAGGTCAGTGGTTCAAACCCACCAGCTGCTCCATGGAAAAAAGGCAGGGCAGTCTGCTTCTGGAAATATTTACAGCCTAGGAAACCCAGTGGGGGTCGCCAAGAGTCAGAATCAACTTGACGGCAGTGAATTTGTTTTTTCGAACCTGCTTTTATCTATGTTAAGATAGAAGTTTCTAGAAGGAAGAACTGTGCCCTTCATTAATCAAATTTTTGTACTTGCACCAAGGACTGAAAAATAATGATCATACGGTCTATTCTGTTAGGTAGATTCCTCTGTCACTTTCCTCCCTCACGGGCCTAGCTGGTTTCACTTGGCAGAAGTCAAAGCCTCGACTTCCACCCATCATTCTCAAAGCACAAATGCTGACGTTCAGCTAACGGTACCCCATCAGCCTGACCCTGAGTCCATTCTGTGTCCTTCTCCAAGAAGACGAAGTGGAGAAATGACCACTTAGAAAGCCCTAGGACTGTCTGACCTTAGAACAGGATGATCTGTCTGTGCCTTAATAAAAACAACAAATTCTCCTAGGATACCTTTGATCCCAACTATAAAAAGATCAGGGTGAGAAAGGTCTCCCGGTCATGGGAAAACCCAGTCTGCTGGTGTCTTTGGTGAGTTAATGAACTACCATATACTTGTGGTTCAGGAAGCTGCTTTATAAACATGCTCTACCTGCAACTGTTCAAGGAGGTCGAGGTTCTGTTTGCGTAAGCTGCTGTTGGCTTTATCTAATTTATCCATTCTTTGGTTGTCACTGAGAGGAGGCGAATCAATCAGTTCTTCTTGAAGCACATGGTACTCAACTTCATAAGCTTGTAGCTGTTTAGAGACGTCCATCTCAAACACCTGTGATACAAAGAGAAGTCATCAGGCCCCGAAAAATCACACCCACACACCCATTTCAACAGCATCCATTAAGCCCCTACTCCAGGCTTAGCACTGCCTGCTGCTCTAAGGGACAAGAAAGAAAAAGTCTCCATGCTGAGAAAGTAATAATTTCACTTGGGAAGGAAGGATACAAGAAACATCTAGAAATAATTCCAAGGTAGCAATGAGTACAAGTTTTTGACACCAATCTTCCAAAAGCTAAAACCTCATTTTTAATAAGGCTTATACTACAAAGCTACTTTTAGCTTTTACTCTACTCATTAGCTCTTTTCTCTGAAAATTCAATAAGCCTAGATAGATCAACAAAGGACTAAAAGGAGGAAAATTAAAAAAAAAATCATAGCCCTATCTGCAGAGTCACCGAGTCAAAGTTTAATTATAGTTCAGTAGGGTTTTCAGAGTTACAAGAACAGCTAAATAATGAAACTGTTTACTAAAAAACCCTCCTTGCATACAAGATATGCAGAAATGAGCCAAAACCCAAATGTCACCCACACAAATGAGTAAATAAGAAACTACACTCAAGTTGTTTTCCTTCCCATAATACTAATAGTGATAAAAAAAAAAAAAGAAGAAAAAAACCCCACATGTGTGAAAAATAACCCCAAAGTACAAAAGTGACTCAAGTTGTTGGTGTTTGTACTTTCGCTTGATCCATGCAGGGTGAAGAGCGAGTCAGAAGACAGATTATGCTGCTGCCCAAGGCCCCGCCTATCTTTCCTACTGTTTCTATGGAAGAACCTACGGCTGTGCCTCCCTGCCCAGAAGTGAAGCCCGACATGCATCTGGAAGACATGGGGTTTCAGCCATGCTGAGGTCGGTGCCAGCAGGTTCAAAACACATTCAGAGAATCAAGTTAGCCTTCAAAAGAGCACACACTGAATCTTCCCTACATTTCCTGAAGAAACAAACCTCAACACAACGATACCAATGACAATTTAGGTTCCCCTGGTGGATCAGCATTCTGTCAGCAAAAAGGATGTGTCTTACCTTCCCTAAAATCAGTTTTCATAAACATGTGTTTACTTTTTCAATATTCCCAGTATTTTCTCTTCCTTGAGATTAATTCCTCAGCTTCTTGGTTTTCAAGTTATTCAATGCATAATACTAGTAAGGCATAAACATCACTCTATACCTACAAACGTGTGTACGTGTGTGTGTGTGTGTGTGTGAATAGTTTCCTTTATTGAACTGATTCTCCATTGTCTCACAGTGACTGTAAGGTAGGGAGGGATTATCACCCCCATTTTTTAAAAAATTTTACTGTGATTTGGGTGAAAGTTTACAGAGCAAATTCACTTTCCATACAGCAGCTCCCATACACTGTCTGATGACATTGACTGTAATCTCCCAGGATGCAACAGCTCCCCCCCGCTTCCTCCCCATAGCCACCTCTTCCCTGTATCCTTCCTGTCTGTGCACTCCTGCCTCAAGCTGTCTCCCTGTGCATACATAGGCCTTCTATTCTTCCATGACTGATCTCTCCAAGGAGTTTATCTACCTAATGTAAATATTCAGCTCATGCCTGTCTTTTGTTTGGCTGGAAGCCACAGTAGTGGTTTCAATTCCAGGGCAGCTAGGGCCATAGTCTCAGCAGTTCCACCAGTATCATGCACATTTTACATACGTGGTAAGTGTGCCTCAAAGATGTTCAACGATCTGACAAGGCAGAAGCTTTGGTGTCAACCCTGAAGCCGAGACTCCATTAGTGACTCTGAATCAGCTTGAACAGATTACTTAACCACTCTGGTTCTTTGCTCATACACGTGGGCATAACTCTTAAACCAAGTCCCCTGTTTAAATTGATTCTGATTTATGGCAACCCATGTTACAGAGTAGAACTATTCCATAGGGTTTTCTTGGCTATATATTTTTTTTAACTGTCATTGAAAATATACATAGCAAAACATATGCCAATTCAACAATTACTGCATGTACAACTCAGTGACACTGATTTTATTCTTCAACTTGTGTAGCCATTCTCACCAACCCTTCTGCATGCTTCCTCTTCCACTGACATACACTCACTGGCCCCTAAGCTTCCTACCTGGCCTTTCCAGTTGCTGTTGTCAATTTGATCCCATACAGATAGCTCTTTAAAAGAGCATAGTGCTGGAGGGAGATATTCTTCACGAATTAAGTTTATGTTATTTCCTTTAAAAAAATTGTGGGGAATATTTTTGGTTCACAGTTTAGAGATTACCTCAGGGCAATAGCTTCAGGGTTTTAGCCACTGGCTGTAATCTTCACAGGAGCAAATCACCAGGCCTTTCTTCTGCAGCATGGCTGAGTGGGTTCAAATCCCAAACTTTCGGATCGCTTGCACTACCCACAAGATGATTTGGGTAAACTCTGATTATACTGAGTGGCTAGGTGAATAGGCATTCACTTAGCTAACTGATCTGCTCCCACGACTTGTCATGCAACCTTCACATTTCAATCTTGTGTGCCTCAGCAAAATGATAAATGATTCCACCCCACAGAACTCCTGAACGGCCCCCAACAGATTAAAGACCACAAAAGTGGAATCCAGGATTGCTATGGTGTCAGTGTGCAATTATAAATATGGTGCTGAATCAATGTCACACTGCATAGAATTATGTTTTTTCTTCTACAGTGACTTATTTTTAAATGATCTCTGACCTGGAAAGCCTTGGCAGCAAAGCCTCTGGTCTTTAATATGAATTGATGATCGGCTGAGGTTAATGGCTCTCAGCTGTGCCCAAAGCCTTACACTCTTCCTGGCCTCCATTAATCCCTAGGAACCATCCCAGGTCATAATGGTCCGCTTAATTGCATCATTATCTCCTGGCTGCCAGAACACTTATGGTCTCTGCTTTTGCAGTTATGCACCAGAATTTATCACAAATCATTGCAGTGTTTGGCTGGGGGTGAAAGGTGAGCCTTGGCCCCTGAACAGACTTTCAGACCTCTGGTCAATTACTTCGGGAGGGGACAGAAGGCAGGGGGATTGGTGGGAGAGGCTCTTTGTCTTTGTGCACTTAGAGGGTGCAGGTAACTTGCTGCTAGGTGCAGTTCTTGGCCAGAAAAAGAGCAAACCCCAAAACGAGCTGCTGTCAATTTGGACTCATGGTGACCCTGTGTGTTGCAGAGTGGAATTGCCCCATGGGCTGTTTTCAAGGCTGTGCTCCTTATGAAAGCAGATCACCAGGCCTTTCTCCTATGGAGCCACTGGGTGGGTTCAAACCACTGACCTTTAGGTTTGCAATTGGGTGATGTGTTAGCTGTGCCACTCTGGGACTTCTACATACAGAGTAAAAACCAAAAATCCAAACCCACTGCTATCAAGTCGATTCCAACTCATAGCAACCCCTACTGGGTTTCAAGGCAGTAAATCTTTATGGAAGTATGATTGCCCCCCATCTTCCTCCTGTGGAGCAGCTGGTAGGTTTGAACCACCAACCTTCTGGTTAGCAGTCAAATGTACCACCAGAGCAATGCACCACCAGAGCTCCTTACAGAAAGAGCAGGCAGTCCTATAATGAAAACCTGATCCTATAGTATTTGTCTCAGATAAGCATAATCAATGAACAAAGAGAGGACCTGGTTGTTGGTGGGAAAGCAATATACAATGTGAGGTCTTTTCATTTCTTGTTCAAAGTGTACCTGGGGCTCACCACCTGCAACCCCTCCAATGTGGCTGGAGAGACCACCTCTGCCTGTGTGGTCTTTCCCTGAGCACCAATCACTTTACAAAGCAGCGAGGCACACAGTCTCTCTGCAAGGTAGACTGGCTTTCATCTTCTTTCCTATTTCAGGATGATAGGCCCTGGTGGCACAGTGGTAAAAACATTCAGCTACCAACCAAAGGGTCAGTGGGTTGAATCCACCAGTATGCAAGTTTCAGAATTTGGGGGAATGAAAGAAAAGTGAATATGCTTTTATTCTTGTGGCATTAGGAATTACCCATTTTCAATGTTTTGCCAATGTAGTGAGCACACATGGCATTGTGTCACACGAGCTTTAGCATAATGCCATGTATTTTTCATAACCATAACTGTAAATGGCTTTGTGGTATCCCATCGACTGACTATATTTAGTCATTCAATTACTGGACATCTACTTACTTCCAAGTTTTTGGTACAAACAATAAGTCTAAGAAAATATTCTTGTACATATGGTTTTTCCTGTATTTTGGATTATTTCCTAAGGATACATTCCAAGAAGTGGGATTACAGAGTCAAAAGGTATGAACATTTTTCTGGCATATGATGCATATCACCAAATCGCTTCCCAAATGGGAATAATCAATGTACAATGCCACTAGCAGCACACAGATGCACCAGATACAATGCATACTGGGCACTAGATTGTGATGTTACAAAACTGCATTTAATCCAGTAGGTAAAGCATTATGTTTTTTAAATTCAAATTACTCATTAACCTAAATACCTCCCTGGATATCTATTTACTAGATGGATCTCCTCTTTAGTGAATTGTCCATTTATGTTTTGGCCCACTTGCAATTGGAGACTCAGCATTTCGCTTTGCTACTTGTGGATATTCTGTATAATGAAGCCATTAACCCTGCTGTCTATAAAATCAGCCCTATACCTTCCCCCTTCTTAAACCTTAAATCCCACCCCCATCTGTGATCCCTGTGGTATACCAAGGGCAGGCCAGTGGGCCTGGTCTCCTGAGTATCTGCAAGAAGGGAGCTCATTGTCTGTGGTGAATTTAAAAACAATAATAACACCAAGTAAAAGTTGGTCTGCTTTTTATTATCACCATATGTGAGCAATTCTAAATTACGCCAGTAGTAAAATGGTCTCCACACGGCACCCTACCCTCTTGGTGTGGCACCGATCAGCCTTTTAAAACATATTTTTAACATTGCACACTGCCCAAGCAGTGAGTGCTCCTCCAGGGCAGAAGAGAGCTTTGGTACAGCGGTTGTAAGGAGTGTACTGTACAGAGAACCCTGGTTAAGATGCTTGTTTCTGTCCTGCAAGCTCAAGCAAAACAAGGAATTCCGTGTGCTGTGAATCAAGTTGCCCACAGCAGGGCTTCATGAACATGAAGTCTCGCCGGGGTCTTGATAAACGCCGATTCTCATTCAGCAGGTCTAGAGCAGCACCCTCCAGCTCCCCCACCCCAACAAAAACAACCGTTGCCCTGGAGTCAATTCCAACTCACGGTGACCCCTTGTATTACAGAGTAGAACTGCTCCATAGAGTTTTCTCAGCTAAATCTTTCCAGGATCAGATCATCAGGGATTTTCTTGCACAGAGTGGTTGCGGGGCTCAAACCACCAACCTTAGGTTTGCTGTTGAACACAAACCGTTGTACCACCCAGGAGGCCCGGATTCTGCATTTCTAACATGTTCCCATGTAACATGAACTGAAGGCCCCACTGAATGGAGCCTTAAGGGTGCTAGAAATAGCTATGTGCCCCATCTGCCAAAGCACCCCTTCAACTCTATTATTCTTCCTTAACTTGAACCTGAGGCTTCATAGTCAGACAGCACTCATGGTGACCAGAAACAATTCTGACTTCCTTCCCTGCATTTCTGTTTATGCCAAGTTTCTCTTTCTCTTGAGTCTGGCCCTACTGGCAGAAGATTCTTATGGTTCATATTCAACCAACAATTACCATGGTAGGTACTAAACCACACCAAGGAAGATGACAGAGACTTCAAGGACCCTTGTCCTTCTGGCCTAGACTCTGTCACCTTTGAAATCGGGTCTCCATGGCTGCTCCCAGCCAGCACTTCAGAGCCCTGCCCTAGGCTACTTTCCCTCCACCTGGGTCCAGGCTGTGTCCCTGAAGCCATCTATGGAAGGGAGCATTTAATGAAATAGAGCCCTGGCTGTAAGAGAAGACCACCAGATATCCCCCTTCCTGCCCCTGGCTGACGTATATGCTCTGACACATGCAACGAATGCATGCCTCATCCCTTCCCTATAATGACTGGATGACAGAGGATGGGGGATGGGTACGCGAGGCCATAGGCTTTGGAGTCAGAGAGACATGTTACTATCTTGGCTATGCCATTTAATACAGAGTATTGGGCATGTCATTCACTCCATGCCCAGTTTCTTTATCTTTACAAATGGGGATTATAATACCGTGTGCCAGAGTTGGTAAGGAATCGATGGAAGAATGAACGCAAAATGCAAAACACAAGGCCCAAAGCCAATCAGGTCACGGTCATGTCCATTTCTACTCTTCTGACACCTAAAAGAACATCAGATGCATATGAGGTACTCTCAATAAATATTTATCCTTTACAGAAAAGAAGAGAAACATAGGATTTTGTGGGGATTAAGTAACTAGGGAGATAAAAGGAATGCCAATTGAGACTACCGGATGTAGGACCCGGAGAAAGGGGCAAAGTTGGGTACTCACTAAAGACATTAGTCTAGATACTCAAGGCTCTCTGGGTTTATTTCCAGTGGCTATAAGCAATGAAAACCATAATTAGGGAATTAAGGAATGTAAATGCTAGGAAGAATCAGAAAGGCAGATAATTCAGTACATGTATTGGGAAGAAGAAAATCAACTGCCACGAAGTCAATTCCAACTCATGGCAACCCCATGTGTGACAAAGTAGAAATGTACTCCATGGGGTTTCAGTAACTGATATTTTGAAAGTAGATCACCAGACCTTTTTTCCAATGTGCCTCTGGGCGGACTTCAACTCCCAACCCTTTGGTTAACAGCTGAGCACACTAACCATTTTCACCACTGGCCCTGAGGTGTCCCTGGGAGGTGCAAGCAGTTAAAGAGCTAGGCTGCTAACCAGAAAGCTGGAGGTTCAAGTCCATACAGAGGCATCTTGAAGGAAAGTCCTGGGGATCTACTTCTGGAAAACCAGCCACTGAAAACCTTCTGAAGCACAGTTGTGCTCTGACAGACGTGCCAATGGCACAAGTCAGCCATGACGTTATGGCAACTGGGTTTCAGTGTCAGAAGGAAGGTGCAATACAGAAACACCCCTTGATAAAGTGACACTCTGAGGCAGTGGGCAGTTCTGAGTAGTTGCTAAGAGCCCTCAGAAGGTAGAGGGGCCCCAGCTGAAAAATCTACCCTTCCACTCTACAGCTGAGTGATGGTGGGCCAGTTAATTAACCACTTTGAGCCCTAATTTCCTCATGGGTTAAAACCACCTATCCTCTCAGGAATGCGGTCACGATTAAATGAGATCATGTGTGTAGACAGCTGCCCACAGAACCTGGCAGAAAGTAAGGACTCAACCTTCAGAGCTGTTCACATCAGGAGAACGTGCCGGAGAAGTAAAATACAGAGAGAGGCGGAGCCCCTTCAGTTACACTTAACTGAAGGTAAGTGCAGAGCTTTCACACTGGTACGATGTGCACAGAGAGCCCCAAACTGACAGCTGCTGTGAAACCCTCCTTTGCCCAGCCACATGTGCTGCTTTTCCTGTGCTCCACACCTGAGGTGGAGTGGAGAATGAGAGTCACAAACACAGCATCTGAGTGGGGCTCACTGGAACTGCTGGAGTCCTCTTGGCCTATGCGAAATCTCTACAATAGGGAGTTTTTTTTAATAGCTTCATTTCACTATCTGTTGTTACCTAACTGTTCCATAGTATAGCCAGAATGCTCCTCAGAAGAGAGAACGGACAGAATTCGTCTCACCTGCTTTGGTCGTGTTGTTAGAAGGGACCAGTCTGTGGAGAAGGATATGATGCGTGGTAAAGGTCAGAGAAAAAGAGGAAGACCCTCAGTGAGATGGACCGACACAGTGGCTGCAACAATGGGCTCAAGCACAGCAAGGACTGTGGGGAAGGCGTAGGACTGCACGGCGTTTCATTCTGTGGTACGCAGGGCCGCTATGAATGGAAACAGACTTGATAGCCCCTGACAACAAATTGTTCCACATTTTCATTAAATTCGGAGCAAGTGAGGTAAGTTCTAGGCTTACGAGAGGCCTGACTGCTAACTCTGAAGCAACTGATACAGGAATCTCTTCCAGAACATTCTTAGCCATCCTGTCTCTAGTCACTTCACGGTGACCTCACTACTGTGCACAACAGTTCAAACCTCCATAGTCAGCAATCATTACTGGAAGATTCTTTCTGTTACAGTCAGAAATCTCCTATTCCCAAGACAGATTATTTGCTAACTAGTCTAGCTGTAACTCCCAGCTAAATTCACCTTCTTAACACCTCCATTTCAGAGATAATGGCAGTACTCTCTACAGGAGTCCTGAAACCACAGATGTGGGCTGAATTCTATGAAAGATCAGGTCATGGAACAAACTTACCACTCCTGTCACAGCTTTGCTATCAAGGAGCTATTTTTGCAAAATTCCAGTCAATGTTATTCAGCAGAAAAATTAATGCACTCATTTTATAAAAGTCTACATTATATAAGTGTATATATTCTATTTATTGTTTATGTATGCACAAAAAAAAAAAAAAAAACAAACTTAGGTATTTTAGGAGAACAAACTACTATGGATGAAACTTCTTAAAGGGTAGAAACTTTCCACTGATAGTGTGCTGTGACTGCACCTAAATATTGCTACCACGTTTCCATGTGGTATTTTTGTCTCTCTGTCTTTCTCTCTCACACACACAACCATTTAGTCACTGCACTCATAAAAAAAAAAAAAAAAAAAAAAAAAAACCCACTGCCATTGAGTTGATTCAGATTCATAGCGACCCTGTCAGGTTTCCAAGGCTATAAATCCTTATGGAAGCCGACTGACTCATCTGCCTCCTGCAGAGTGGTTGGTGGATTTGAACTGTCGATCTTTTGGTTAGCAGCCAAATGCTTTAACTAAGGCACCCCCAGAGCTCTCTACTCCACACACAGAAAGAACATTTGCTATGTGCCTCCTCCAACCCAGACACAGTACAGGATGCTGTTCAGAACACAAAGTGGTAGGAAACAGCTTCGGCTCAAAGGGAAATGCAAGGTTCTATGTATCTAGGACTGCATAAGCCTCTGGAAGGTTCAGACTGACCCCGTACCTGATTGATGGTCTTTTCCATTTGTACCAAGCCCAGGTTTGGCAGTGTGTTTTTTATAAAGTCAACTATAGTTTCAAGGTGCTCATGTTGTAGAATCAAGGGCTTATGGCTTCCCAATAGGCTTAACGCCACTTTAAATACGACTTCTGATCCCTGAAGAAAGATCATATCTGGGAAAACACAGAAAGGAAGAAAGTTAAACCAAATCAGTTACTGGTCAAATAACATTACTTTTTTTCCCTCCACAGTGAAGGCCTACACATCACAGAGCAGAAGGGTAGAGAACACCCCATCACATCATGAGCTTTATTTCCTTCTGAGCAGATATTTCAGATAGGGTTGTTAAGGCAATATTGCAAATGATAAAAAAAAAATATATATACACAGTTAAGATTCTGTCACAGCTTCAGATAAATCTTTTTCACTCTAAAAAATAAATTATGTTCAAACATGCCTCAAAGTTTAAAATGAGAAAGAAAAAAATACCTTTTTATTAGTCTCTTTCTCCAGGAATATTTTGGATTTTAAAGGAGTTACTAGAACATATGTTTTTATGGGTAAAATGGGAAGATTTTAATAGGTACAGCATCAGAAATGAAGATCAAATAAGTAAAAAAATGTTCCTCTGCTTTGGAATAAGGGGCTGCGTTAGAAGGTCTCTAAGATACAGTTGCAAAAGTATCTTATTAAATATTTAAAAAATATATAGATTTTAGAGTAATGGAGTAAATAAAATATTTCCCTTTGAAGAATTCAAAGCACTTTGCTAGGGCTACTTTCCAGTTCTTGTCATAGTTTCATTTTAGAATACTTTTGCAAATGTTAGCAGTTCCTGTACTAATTTATACAGTGAGAGGGAGGGCAGGTGGCCAGTGCAGCTGGCTAAGCAGCAGGCACAGCCCAGCCCAGTTCCCCCAATGAGGCGCTGGAAGCCACTGATGAATGAGAGTAAAACGTCCTGGGGTTAAAGCACAGCCATAGTGACTAATTGTTGCTAGGTACTGTTGAGTTGGTGACCCGTAGTGACACAACGTACAACACAACGAAACATTGCCCAGTCCTGCACCATCCTCACAATTGTTGTCAAGCTTGTAATTATTTGATGACTAAATTCAGTCAAGTTACCTAACAACTAGAATAATAACATAAGAAAAAATATAATTTTAAAGCTACAAACATAAATAGAAATAGAGCCAACTGTCAATACTTCCTTTCCTTTGTTGGCTACAGGATAATGGAGGCAGCAAAGGGTTTGTCAACTCATCAAATCAAGAAAGACAAAAAGTGAGACAATGAATCCCTACCATTGCACACACACACACACACACATTACACCCAGAATGCTCCTTAGAAGAGAGAATGGCCAGACTTCGTCTCACCTACTTTGGTCGTGTTGTCAGAAGGGACCAGTCCCTGGAGAAGGATATGATGTTTGGTAAAGGGTCAGAGAAAAAGAGGAAGACCCTAAATATGATGGACTGACATAATGGGCTCAAGCATAGCATACATATATATATATATATATATGTATATATATGTATGTATGTATATATACACACACACATATATGCACATATATATAGTGCATGTGTGTGTGTATATATATATTATACACATACATATATGCATGTATATATAAACTAGAAACAAAACTATATATATATATATATATATATACATACATAAAATATATACATATATAATACATATACATACGCACACACACATATACACGTATATTTAAACCAGAAACCAAGCTCACTGCCCTTGAGACGTTCTGACTCATAGTGAGCCCGTTTGGGATTCTGAGGCATTAAATCTTTATGGAAGTAGATTGCTCAGTCTTCCTTCCACAGAGTGCCTGGTGGGTTTGAACCATCAACCTTCTGGTTAGCAGTCAAATGCCTTAGGCCCTACACCACCCCCCCGCCATTGGTTCTATGCCTCTAAGGAACCCAGACTAAGACAGAAGGTATACATACAGAGAGATGTGAAAAAAACCACGTCCTGTCCAGCAGACCAAAACCAGTTTGGTCTGGTACAGCTGTGGCTATGCAGGGGGAAATGGTTGTTGAAATGGTGAGGTTGAAAGGGAAGCGGGGGACAGGACACAAAGGGCCTTGTACGCCAGGCTAAGCAATGCTGTTATTCTAATGTTACCCTGGTCACAGCAGCAAGTCACTGGAGGTTCCCCCTCTCCCCGTTTTTCTCCCTTGTCTGAGTAGGTCAGTGCATTTAGTAAGATTTTAGTTAGAGCCAGGTTACAGATCTGATCCCATAGGTTAGACCAAGAAGTATCACCTTTTAAGAGGCACTGACAAAAACACCCTATTTCCTGCCCCCAGACCTAGAAATGCATCTGCCAGTTGCAAGAGATGCTGGTTCACCACCTCTCATGGAAACCCAAAGGGTCCATGCTTCTGAGGACCCCCTGGGGGGCTGTCTGCACTCCTAAGGGCCCAGGGAGCTCAGCCCCAGCAGCTTCTGGGAAGGCATTAAATAAGGAGTTCATTTGGGTACATATGCAAAGCTCTTGGGTGGCACACAAAGTGAAGTGCTTGGGTTAACCAAAAGGTTGGTGGTTCGAATCCACCCAGTGGTACCTGGTAGTCTGCTTCCGAAAGATCACAGCCATCGAGAACCCTGTGCAGCACAGTGCTTCTCTGACACACACGATGTCACCATGAGTCGCAGTCAACTCCATAGCCACTTGGCTGGAGTTTTTGGTTTTGAATATGCAATAAAGGAATGTCTGGGAGTTGAAAGGAGCACCCCTGAGAGTTCTGCTTGGAAGGAAGGGGTTCCTACATTTATGTGACTACACTTGGGGATAACACCTATAGCTTTTAAACTATTAGTATCTTATTCTCTCTCTAGAAATTTAAAAATGAATAATTTTAAAGTAGTAGAAAAATGTTTTCTAAAAGCCTAGTGCCCCAACCCAAACTACTTAAGTTTTGCCTGTCTTCCAATGCTTATACACTGCATTGTGCAAAATTTTTAAGAAAGAGTAATTCTTCTTGGAAGAGTGAATTACTTGCTTATATTTGAAAACCACGGCAACAAGAGAGTGACCTGCCGGAGCTCTCCCCGCAGCACGGGGTAGCCTCGCTCACAACACTGCAGCCAACTTCCTTCCAAAGAGACTTTCTTTATGTCTCTTCCTTTCTTCTCTCCTTTTTCAGGCCACCTGGAAACAGGCAAAGGGTTTTACCAGGCAGGAAGCAGGAGGAACCTATTGATTCTGCTACTTCGCACACTATTTGCTGAGAACTGTGCAAATAACTACTTTCTTCTGAAGACCTCTCAGTGCCCTGTTATTGTGTTAACTTGCATGGGAGCCTTATTTGAAACTCTCCATGCTCTGAAAGGGCAATTTTCCTATGGGGAAAATGATAAACGCAAAGCATGTGGCCTGTGAGTGACCTTCCACTGCATTCATTTCTCAGCCACCTTTGTGAAGGGCAGTCCCTCTTCTTGACTATCTCCTGGGTGTCCTTCAGTTGGCACCTCTACACCCCTCTCAGGAGCCAGGAGGGGGGAAGTGAAGGATGATAAGAATGCTGCAAACGAACAGAGTTTGCAAAAAAGGTCCCCTCATCACCACTCTATCATGGTAACTGGAGAGCCGGACGCTTTTCCTGGCCATATAAACAATCTTGTTTCCCCAGTCTATTTTAGTCATTAAACCTCTCTGAATCCTTCTATTACAGGTGGCTTGTGAGATTTTTTTTTTTTTTTTTCCAAAGCCTTGGTTTTTATACTGTACCTCCTCTCTCGTCGACTTGGCAGCACAGCCTAGGAAATGCCAGGAGCCCAATACAGCCATCCCCTCCGTCAGGAGCAAGCCAGGCCCTAGTTCTCAAATGTTTTCCAAAGACAGACTTGATCAGGAGGAAAGAACAAAAAATCTCTCCCAGGGCCCCTCTACCCGCAAACTGGGAAAATATAGGAGCAGGTCACTTCACGTTATGTGACACCCAGGCAGAGGCCTGCCGTTCAGGAAGTGGCAACTCCACGCAAAGGTTAAGGCATGTACATCCTTGGCAGCTGCCCCTCCAAGCAGCAAATACTTAATTCAAGGTAACTGATTAATATATGAGCCATGCTGACTGCCAGCTGAGAAACACTTTACTTATATATAAAACTGTGAACAGTTAACAAAGGCCCATTTGTATTTAGGGTTGATCCAGGTCTAAAGGCTTATCATGAAATAGGCTCTAGGCCAAAAAAAAAAGACCACAAGACATGATGGCAGGTTTGGGGTGTTAAAACAAAGCTATCTACCATCAAGAGCTGAGAAAGCAATTTTCTGTAAGTCACTGATGCTGAATTCAGAAACGGCTTTTAAAAATTTAGCTATTCTATGATAGCTACTAATAGACTGTTTGCTTTTAAGTCCTGAAAGACGGAGTGGACTATGCAAAAAAAAAAAAAAAAAAAAGCAGTTTTTATAAAATATCTTCACAACACAGAGCTTATGGCCTTAGAGAACCACTTCTTGCCTATAAAATAAGCCGAGCCCCTGAGCCAGCTGGATACAAACCCATTTAGTACAGCAGGGGCCATGGGGCCCAGGAATTACACAGACAGTGGCATCGCTATGCGTAATATATCAAGAAGCTCTGAAACCTACCACTGACTACATAACATAGACAAAAATATCCAGCTTTTACTGGCTTCAGCTTTTATCGTATTAGTATTATAGTATTATGACATCAGAGAACTGTGAATTATTCTACAGCAAAAAATCAAGAAACCTATAGCTGTCAAGTTGACTCCGACTCATAGTGACACTATAGGACTGCTCCATGAGGTTTTTCAAGTCTGGTGGCATACTACCTACAGCATTTGACTGCTAACCAGAAGGCTGGCAGTTCAAACCCACCAGCCACTCCTTGGAAGGAAGATGGGGCAATCTACTTCTGTAGTGATACTGCCTTGGAAACCCAAGGAGGGGTCGCTATGAGTTGGGTCCGACTCCATGGCAGTGGTTGTGTTTTGTGTTGCTATGTTTATGGGAGCAGACTGCCACATCTTTCCTCTACAGAGCAGCTGGTGGGTTCGAATCACCAACCTTTCAATTAGGAGCAGCCAAGCACTTAACGACTGTGCCACCAGGGCTCTTTTCCTGCAACATAAGGGCTGTTATTTCCAAAGGAGTGTTTTCTTTTTTTTTTTTTTTAAATGCCACTTACTCACTTGTACAGCCCAAGGAAAGACTTCTTTCTGAGCACTTTACGACCTTGTTATCACGTGCCAATGAGCAGATGCCTGACTCATAGTCCATGTAACAGAGTGGAACTATCCCATAAAGTTTTCTAGGCTTTATGGTGGCACATTGCCAGGTCTTTCTCCCACGGAGATGTGGGCTTGAACCACCAACCTCTCAGCCAAATGCTTAACCCTTGCACCACTGGGGCTCCTTAGAGCCTGAGAACTATCCATAGTCATAGGTACTTAGGTGTGCCTGAGGCAGTGATGACCTCAGAGCTGACCCCTCCCTGCCCTTCTGCTCCAGTCTGTGACATCCCCAGCCTCCTTTGCTGATTTTTTTGTCAGTGTAATTTGACGTTTACACTGTTTTGAATCATTAACAGCATTTTCTTCTGTTTTCAATCTTTACTCCCTTCTATTACTGTTTGAAAAAATAGTAAAGAATAAGAAAGAAAGAGTAAAGTGATTGTTGGTGTTGTAGCAAACCCACATGCAGAGTAGAAGTGCCTGTCAGGTTTCTGTAATCTTTATGAGAACAGGTCACCAGGCCTTTTCTCCCACAAAGCTGCTAGGTGGGTTCAAACCACCAACTTATTGCTACAGCAGCAGAGTGCTTAACATTGCACCACCAGGGGGCTTTGGAATTAAGGTATACTAATAATTTTCTTTTAATTTCCAGTATAAGAAAAGATAAACACACAAAAGTTATGAGCAAAGAAGGCTGAAGCCTACAGCTAGAGAACATGCACTTGGCTGTGTGTCTTTCGCTAGCCAACCAGAGACACGATTTTGAAGACTTCAGTTACCTTTCTTTTTCTTTTTACTATGATATAAAAACTTCATGAAATCCCACTACCAATTTTTTCAACTACGAGATAATCATTTTATTTTAATGATATTTTTTTTCAGAGACAGAAATTAAAAAACAGTTTGTGGAGGTAATTTTTCCAAAGGGAATAGTCAATATTTTAAGAACATGGATTCTTCTAGCAAAGTCCAATGGGGAATTCTTTAAAGGCACTTGTAGATAGAAAAAAAAAAGAACAACAAAAACAAACTCACTGTCATAGAGTCAATTCTGACTCATATTAACCCTAGAAGACAGAGAAGAATAGCCCCATGGTTTCCACAGCTATCAATCTTTATGAAAATAGACTGCATCACCTTTCTTTTGAAGCTTGGCTTGTGGGTTAGAACCATTCACCTTTTGGTTAGTAGCCCAATGCTTTAACAACAGAACCACCAGGGCTTCCTTTTGAAGTAGTTACATATGATTAAATCAGATGGACTACTTTCCATAGTGTGAGTAGGTCTCAATCAATCAGCTGAAGGCCTAAAGCCCACAAAGGGACTTTTTCCCAGGGTGTATTCTGCTACCAAGTTAAAAAAAGGTATGTTACCACAACTCTTCAATTCCCCTTAATGACTGCCCTACAGATCCTAGACTTGTTAGCCCCACAATTATGTGAGCCAATTCCTTAAAATAAATAATCTCTCTTCATCTCTTAGTCTCTCTCTGTGTATACAGTTATATACACACACAGATATATCTTACTGGTTTTATTTCTCTAGAGAACTCTAAGACACAGAGTAAAAAATAAAAAATAAAAAAAATCTGAATTATCAAAAATATTACTTTTATTTTAAGTAGAGAAAACAAGCTTTACAAGAACTAAGCATGCTCACCATATCTCACTGGGCTCCTGCTGTCCAAGAGAATGGCCCTACCTCTCAGCTCAAGATAGTTACAAGACTTGGCACGAGAACACTTACTTAACTTTGACAGAGATAATCTTCCCTAGACACAAATTAAGAAAATGGAAGATGGTTTTAGATGTGCACAATCTGAGGTCATAGTTGGGGCATGGAAGTGGAAGCAGTCTGTGACATTTAGGAAGGTGAGGCTCGTGGCACGTGTTAGATGTCAAGGCTGAAGATGGGAGGATGGGTCAACAACATAGAGGAGTCCTTTGAAGTCCTAATATGTGGTCTTCAAAAGAGTGACAACAGAGAGAATGAAGAGTCAAGGGGAGAGAAAGGGAAGAGTTTTGGTTACTTCCTGCCGCTCTAATAGAAATACCACAGGTGGGTGGCCTTAACAAATAGGCGTTTATTCTCTAAGGACCAGGCTTGAGGGGCTGGATGAAAGCCCACTGACCTTGGGCTTCAACTCTGCCTCTTGCTCCTGGCCCACTGAAACTGCGGGGCTGACAAACCCAAGGCTGACAAGTAAAATGACACAGTCCCAATGTTACCAAACCACACGGCAGGCCACTGATTCAAGTCCATGAACAGTCCCAAGATTGGCAGACAACACGGCATGCTGCTGAATGACGACTCGGCTACATACAGGATTCAAGGGTGTTAAAAGCTGCAGGGACCTTTCTCAAAATTTCTCGTTATATACTGGAAGCAGACCCTAATCAGCTGCTTGTGGCAGATTCTACCATGGAGCAGACTGCTAGTCTCTTCATAGGGAATGACTACAATCAGCTGCCCAGCCACTCAAAACCAGGTCCAGCCAAGTTAACACAAAGCCTTAACTACCACAGGGAGGAAGGGGAGGAGATGAGAAGGGAATTTAGAAAGAACAGTAGACCAGAAGTGACCGTGGTGGTGGTATTTAAGAAGCTGTCAGTAAGGAATCCCTGGGTGGTATAAATGCTTAAGTGCTTGACTTATAACCAAAAGGTTGGTGGTTCAAATCACCCAGGGTGGCCTTGCAAGAAAGGCCTGGTGATCTACTTCTGAAAAGTCACAGCCTTAGAAACCGTGGAGCACGGATCTACTCTGCACACACAGAGTTGCCGTCAGATTCAACTCCATGGCAGCTAGTTTGATTCTGTTTATATCAGTCAGAGAGTCACAAGCCAGAGAAGTTGAGGAAGATGACTCATGAATTTGTAAGCCTTTAATATACACGCCTGGAGCTCTTTGGCCAGTCTTAAAAATATCTGTTCTAGAGAGAGCTTTATTTTGAGGGAAATGGATCTAAATTCTTTAAGAATGAAGGCATCAAGGGAAGCCCAGTGATTATCAAAAATATAACAGGTCTTAAAATTCACAAAACCCAACCCTAAATGTCACTTTGAAGGCTAAGGTGTACCTAATACAAGTCATGGTATTTTCCATAGCCTTGTATGCATGCCAGAGCTGGACAATGAATAAGGAAGACTGAAGAACTGATGCATTTGAATTGTGGCTTTGATGAAAAATATTGAATGTACCATGAAGTGCCAGAAGAATGAACAAATCTGTCTTGGAAGAAGTACAGCCAAAATGCTCCCTAGGAGTAGGAATGGCCAGACTTTGTCTCACCTAGTTTGGTATAATGTCAGAAGGGACTAGTCCCTAGAGAAGGATGTCATGCTTGGTCAAGTGGAGGGTCAGTGAAAAAAGGGAAAACCCCCAGTGAGATGGCTGGACACCGGCTACAATAATGGGCTCAAGCAAAGCAACAATTCTGAGGAGGGCAAAGGGCCGAGCAGCGTTTCTTGCTGTCGTACAGAGGGTCAACTACCAGTTGAAACTGACCCAACAGCACCCAACAACAATATCAGCAACCCTTACTGAACTTGGAATGTCAATACCCTGTTCTTACAAAAGATACAGACATAAACATAAGAACAACAACCATGAAATGATAATGTTTTTTCATTTATTGGTTCTGGTAAATTGCAGTGAAGCGAATTACTTAACATGGCCCTTTTAGCCATAGATCTCTACTTTGTGATGTTATGTAAATCCCAGCTTCTATGCCTGTTTATTCAGAAGGAAGGTTGGGCAATCTACTTCCATAGTGATTCTGCCTCGGAAACCCAAGGAGGTGTGGCTATGAGTTGGATCTGACTTGACAGCAGTGAGTTTGGTTTTGGTTTGTATGCCTGTTTAAGCTGGGCTATGTCTTAAGTCCCACCTTGCTGAAGGGTGTGACTCAAGTCACCAGTCTTAGTTTCCTTGAGGGTTGTTGTTGTTGTTGTTGTTATGTGCCGTCGAGTCGGCCCCGACTCATAGCAACCCCTCCTTGGGTTTCCGAGGCAGTATCACTACGGAAGTAGGATTGCCCAACCTTCCTTCCGAGGAGTGGCTGGTGGGTTTGAACCGCCAGCCCTCTGGATAGCAGTCAAGTGCTTTACATATGTGAATATTCTGCTAAGTTAGCTCTCTTGCTCTGGAACCTGCATTTGGTTCGTCATCATCTCACTCCTGGAGTTGAGACAACAGCCAGTTGTACAACCTGCTGATTTGGGTCTGCCAACCCCTGCAGCCACGTGAGAGAGGGGAATCCTCCAGCCCAACGCCTGACCCATGGATTTGGGACTTGCCAGCCTCCCCACCTCCACCACCACATGAGCCATCTCCTTGGCAGCGTGTGAGTTCCGTGAGATGTTACAGCAAGATAAAGAACCCTAAGACGGGAGGGAAGTACTGAGGGGAGGAGAAGGAGTTGATGTTAGGGAAGATGGAATGGTACAGCAGTTTGAAAAAGTTACACATTTGGGGCATCTTTAAACTCCACCTCATAGGGACCAGCCTTGTGCTGATCCTTCTAAAAGAAATCATTCAAGCACAAATAGATTTACAAAGACTTACCAAAGACTCTGGCTACAAACCCCAGTGGAAATTGGGAGGCAAACATGGTGAGAAACCAGGGGGCAGCATAGAGGCTGGGGCCAATCTCGTGTTCTTCGAGGTGATTGTAGAGGTCTCTATGGTAGTCATGAAGCAGCCTGGAGAGTTGGTACATCTGGATCTGCAGGGATATATGCCCATGTATGTTTAAAGTTAGGTATCTGCTCTGGGTATAAAATTACTTATACTCACAGGAACACTTCCAAGAATACTGTTAATTTTTAAGAAAAACATTTTAGAGTGTTAAAAGTTCTATTTGGCTTTTGACATCCCTTGGTCTCGGCTAATCCTTTACCTAGCATGAGTCTGCTGGGTGCTTCTGTATGAAACACCAAGCTAGGTGCCAGTTCTCCAACATTAAAGTGGGTCTCCTCTTCCTCCACTATTTCCTCTCCTTTTATTGTTCTCTGTGTTCCATGGCTAAGAGAATCTAAATATCTGACTTCTGGAAATATTTCATAAATTCTCTTAAAAATATACAATCTTAGCAAAACTCAAACCCCAAGGGAATTAGAAAAAAAAAAGCCAGCCTTTCTGTTAAGAGTGAACTGAGGGCATATATGATTCTGTAGAAGGATCCCATTGCATACACATACTCACTAAACTCCTCTAGACCCCAGCTCCCAGAGCACTCAATAAGCAGGACAAGTGCAACTTCTTTCAGTTTATAACATAAAATGTAGATCCTGGGAAAGTGAAGATAAGAACACAAGTGCTTATGTGGAGATAAAGAAAATTACTTTTTCCAACTAAAATTGAACTTCAACTTAAAGGGCTCCCCCTCTGCTGGGAGCTGTAAGGTTCTGGCAGGAAGTTGCTCCAGTTCCCTACAGCCCCATGGTGAGTCCCAGGGCTCCCAGAGATCCAAGAGCCAACTCAGCTTTGAGCAGCCTCTGGCACGAGTCCAAAAATACAGTAACCTACAAGGGGCCAAGACCCTACTGAGATGCTTCAGATTGGACACAAGTACTCTTTAAAGTGGAAGACAAGCCAGTTTTCAAAGGCTCAGACACTACAATCCTCATGTACCAGCTGTGGCTCTTCCATATAGAAAAGTGTCTCATCAACCAAGGCTGTCATCCCAAAATTCATCTTGTGACATGACGCTAAATGAGATAAAACTCAAAAATTCCATTTTGCTATCACACAACAGGTGCCCCTACATTAAAGCTAATGGGGAAAAAGTAGGAAGAACCTAACACTATGTGTGGGAAGTGTTATTTAGATAAAATCTTTCAGAGAATGAAATGGCTTCCTTCTAGGCAGTTCTTTTTTTGTGTGGCTCAAGTTCACAGCTAAAGGGGAGAGCACTGTAGTGCTCTGAAAAGGCCTTAGCTCTAATCTACCCTTTCTCCAAGGGCACTTTCTCCAGCCCTGAAATCGTGCGCTAGAATTGACCTGATGGCAGTGGGTTTGGTTTTCGGTTTCTTGGTGAATGAATACATAAACACATGCTCTTTAAGCACCATTTAGAAATATTCTGGAAGCAGGATACTGAGTTCTCCCCACCTCTCAAAGGCAGCAGCAACAGCACTAGGCACTCGGAATACACTTCTTTGTTTGGTTACCTTTTTTTTTCCCTCCAGTTTTTTTTTTTTTTTTTTTTCT